TGATTTAGTTACTGTAAAGGTTTAAAAGTTTTTGGTAAATAACTAATGTTCTATCAATTTATGTTCATAATTGTTAATTATCACTTGGTAGATTTAATTAAGTATATTAAATCAATTACCTCTTTAACTTAAAATTTCAGATTCGATTGATGTTACTGGGTTGCAAATCATATAAGTTTAAAATCAATTTAAATTTTTTACTACAATTTTCAATATGAAGAAAATTACTTTCTAGTTTAATATTTGGTTAGAAATTCAACTACCAGTGTGAATAACTTCTTAACATGCGTATATAAATACCTATGTGATATTATCATTTTCTGTAAGCCACATTTATTGAAAACAATTGAGCATTAAATTTTATTTTATTTTAGCAATGGATAAGGAGAAGAAGACTGCAGGACGCCAATCAATTCCTATGGAAAGAATAGAAAACCCAGAGGATCGCTACACTACATTCTCTAAGCGCCGGTCGGGGTTATATAAGAAAGCAAATAATTTGGTTGAAGAATGTGGCGTAGATATAGGAATAGCTCTTTTTTCGCCGGCTGGTAATCCATTTTCTTTTTTTCACCCAACGCCTAATCTAATCTTAGATCCAGTTGAGAATCCTAACATAGAATTGAGCGAAAGTACAAAACTTGTTGCTGCATATGCACGAAATAATGTAAACCAAACCAACAGTAGGATTAATGAGATTGAGACAATAGAAGAGGGTGTAAAAAGTCAAATGCTTTTACTTGAACAACTGAACAAAACTAGACAGATAGATTCGTATAAATGCATTGACCAGTTCAAAGCAGATGATATAATCAAATATGAAGCTTGGTTACAGAGCGTTGTCTTTGGATTGGAAAATCATTTAAAACAGTTAGGGAATGGAGCTTCATCCTCCTCAGAAGCACCTTCGGATAATGCAGATAACTCGCCTAGCGCTTCAAATGAATAATTTTCGGATAATATTCGGAATTGTATGCGACAAAAACATGAAAAAAATTCAAATTCTTATGATTAGTGTGTGCTTTTAAATTTGTTTCTTTTCTTTTTCTCTTTTTTTCTTTGTTTCAATGATGGTACGACTACATGTACTCTGCGATGATTTCTATTAATAA